CTGTTAAGAGGAAACGCTCAGAATGGCAGCCAGCTCTCAGTCACCAAGCGGTCCATCAGCAGTCCCTGCTTGTTATGCTGGTGAGGGTTTACTTTACACAAAGAACGGTCTCATGACTCGCAGGCCTCCGTGTCAGCCAAGGGTGGGGAGGGGAACTGTTTGGGACCACCTTCCGCTGTCAGCAGCAAAGGGGAGGCCATCCAGCCTGCTCCCCCCAAACCAAACCAAACTGCCAGCCTGACTCAGAGTGCCTCCATAGGACCGAGCAGAACAGCCCTTGTGGGTTTCCTCGCTGTGAGTCTTTACAGGAGCAAAGAGCCACCTCTTTCTCCCCGGGCGATTGGTGGATGTGAACTGCCTGCCATGAGCAGCCAGCGTGTGACCTGCTGTGCCACCAGGGATCCTTTAACCTGGCTCTTAATAAACTTCTCCTGGGAAAAAAGAAACAGACAAGACACCCAGTGGCTGCTCAAGAACAGAAATCAGAAGAAACATCCTCTCCTCTCCCCTGGGGGATGCAGGGCTTCAGGCAAGTGTTCTATTGCTCCCCAGCACCCCATGGAGAGCCCCAAATTTGCTGTGTGGGGCCAGGACCTATCTCCCTCATTAGCTCGAAGCTCTGCTTCCTCCTCCTGCCAAAGCCTCTAGGATTGCATGTGGAGCACACTGACCAGCCAGACGCCGTGCCTCTGAATTGCTTTTCAAAAGGGACGCATCTATTTTGCCCCAATGATCAATATAATCATTCACGAAAACGAGTCATTCTCTGCCTTGGGACCCAATTATTTTCTCGTGGAACCAGTGGTTGCAAAAATATATTGTTTCCCACTTAACTATTAAACGGTTTCTCTACTCATAATCTTTCATTATGGGTGAGAGGCTGCGTTTAAGCCTTTGCGTCCACGTTCTCTTCGCACTTGGCTTGGCTTATCTAAGGTCCACTTTCTCCAGGAGATCCATTACCTGGAGGGAGCCCTGGAGGAGAGGTGGGCCATCGGGTCCCCCTTCCTCCCTCCCCACCTGCCAACACCGAGGGGAGGGCAGGGTGGGCTTCTCTCTGGGTGGGCGGGAGGTTGAGTGGACAGAATACTATGCTGGAGTATACACAGGAAAAGGCTCACAGGGACCCCCAACTCTCCTAGGCCCCTGGACAAGCCCCAGCACTGTGTAGCCTGGGGCAATTCTGAGCTTGCTTCCTTGGGTTTAAAAATGGGATAACCACTCACTCCCTATGCAGAGCTCTGGTGCTGTAGTGGTTATGCATTGGGCTGCTAACTGCAAGGTCAGCAGGTCGAAACCACCAGCTGCTCCTTGGGAGAAAGATGAGGCTTTCCACTCCCGTAAACAGTCAGTCTTGGAAGCCCAGAGGGGCAGCTAATGGCATTAAGTTTGAGTTAACTGATGAAAGACAGGGGCCTGGTTAAGATTAAATGAAGCCTCCGCTTCCCCAACTCAATGTGGGGCATGCCATGGTCCACCCCAGTTTGTACATGGTACCCCTAGCTTTCAGCTGCTCAGAGTCCTCCCGTCTCCTCTCTCACCCTCTTCATCTAACCAGCTCTTCCTCTCACTGTGGCGATCTAGGGGGTGCCCCACCCCTGGCACCATCACCCCGCAGCTTCAGGTTCTCTGTCCCACTGCCATCTTTGCCCTCAGTCTAGTCACAGCCCACGCGCCAGCGTGATGATCCTTAAGCACGCAGGTGACGTGAGGTCAGGTGGTCCCTCTGCTGACTCAGAGTAAGCGCTAAGTCCTAAGTCTCAGCCTCTCATCTCCCAGTCTGCCACACATGCACGAGCGTTTATTTTGCAATCACGCTCTCTCTCCTATAGAACCCAAGTCCTGCTGCATCCAAGAGCCTTGAACGAGGTCTGGCAGGTAGAAGGTGCTCAAAGTGGTCGATCACTTAATTCACCAAGAAAAGCATTAAAAATAAAAAACCCAGCGGTCTACGGCACTGAACAAATCTGCTGCGCGGGATCTATTCAAAGTCTTAAAGAGCAAAGGTGTTCCTTTGGGGGACATTTTTGTTGTTGCTGTTGAATCAATGCAGCACCCAGCGAAATGCCCACCTCATGGTTGGCAGGGACTCGACACTGACTACTGTCCTTATAAGCTAAGGACACGTCTGACCTGGAGACCTACCACGAGAATCAGGACACCTTGTCCACACCGTGGGTTCCATCATAACGTTCCAGGGTGAGTGCTAGCTTGAGCTTATAGATAAGGACAATAAATAAGGAAGCCCACAGCCCGGATGCCTCGGAATTATTGTGTGGACAAGGCATGTTAAAGGTACCGGGAGGGTGCCAGAGAACAAAACGGAAGCCCTGCTGGAGGAATTCCAGCCAGCATGCTCCTTAGAAGGGAAAATGGGCAGACTTCCTCTCACATACTTGGACATGTGATGGGGGGGTGACCAGTCTGGAGAAGGCCATTGTGCTTGGTAGAGGGCCGGTGAAAGAGTGGAAGGGCGACCTTTAGACTAGCTAAGGGCCCTTTAGATTTCTTTCAAGTCTCCGCCTTCAAAAAGTTTACTCTTTCTGTTCAAACCTTTACAAGAAGAAAAAGATGGGAGACCTTCACCAAGATGGACTGACACAGTGGCTACACCGATGGGCTCAAACGCAGAAACGACGGTGAGGATGGCGCACACCAAGTGCTCTGCTGCACACAGGTCCCGACCAGTCAGAACCAGCTTAGCAGCAACCGCACAGAGGGGGACAGGAGGTGCTGCTCGGTGCCCGAGAAGGTGAGTTGCTGAGCCACCAGGAACGAGTGTAGAAAAAGCCACCACCATCGGAGCACTTTCTGTGTGCCACAAGGATATCTGGTGGTCTAGGAGGTCGCACATGGACCTACTGCTAAACACAAGGTCAGCAGTTCAAACCTACTAGCTGTCTGCAGGTGAAAAATCAGGCTGTCTGCTCCTGTACAGATTCCAAGTCTCAGCTACCCAAATGAGCAGCTCCACTCTGTCCTATAGGGGCACTATGAAATGGAATCCACTCGATAGCAGTATTTTTTGTTTGTTTGTTTTCTATGTACCATGGGTATCCTCCATCCCATCTGATAAATACGACAGCCCAAGGAAGTGAGTTCTTTGATTTATTCTCATGGTTAAAGATGAGGACATGAGAGTTTTTAAAGAGTTAGTATTTACCTAGGGCATTTCTAGGTGGTGTTCACACTGGAGGAATGAACACCTCCGGAGGATGCATGAAACTTTCCAAGGGGCTCAAAGGGGAAAAAATCTTAAGTCCTCATTTTCCACAGCTGCTTAGGTAACTGCCTGGAGGCTCTTTTCTCCGCTCTCTCCTTACCCTCACCCGTCTTCCATGCCAAATCTTACTACTAGGTCGTGTCCCCACACACAAAAATCCCTGGGCAACACAAAGCGCTATTCAAGACATCAGTCTCCAGACTGTGGTACCGTCAGGTGGTTTCAAACCCTTGCCTTCAACAAAGTTAAAAAACGACCTCCAAAGACTGTCCACTGACAGATCATTAGTAATTGATTTGGATGATAGATTGTTACTTGATTCTTTTTTTTTTTATCCCATAGCTCAGCAACTCAAAAAATTGACGCGTTGCCACACAAAAGTGCTCTAAAAAAAAAAAGTGCCCTCGATTTCTGTGTAGTTATTTCCCTAACAGACTTTCTAAAAATGGAGTAGTTCCAGTAAATTTCCTTCTAACAATTATCAGAATGTAAAATATATTTGTCTTTTTGATCAGTAATTGCAATAACTCTGCTCAGAAGAAAATGTTTTAGCACTGTAATCATAGCACACTTAAAATATATATATTTAAATTCTAAATGTACTATTTTTACAGAGAAATAGGGTAATGAACTATAGGCTCTTGTACTAGAAAAACTTACCAAGGAAACAACGTGCAAATAGGCGGTCACAAAGGAAAAAGCAACCATGTAGTAGTTTGTCAAATGAAAACTGGCTGGTGAATTTTGAGGAGGGTGAAATGTGGATACTTACAATTAACCAGCAATTCCTATCCTTTCAGAGGAAACTTTTAGCTGCCAACAAAAATGTGGGAGCGGGTTGTTTTCAAAGCACAGTTGCCTGCCTTCGGCTAGCAGCCCTCAGCTTTCACCTGAAGGTGCTGGTCTCCTGACACCCTTTATTTGGCACATCACCCAAAACCGTCAGATGTTGCCAGGACATACAGAAGAGGGTCTGCTGGGAATTTAGAGCCCTGCTAAGGCCCCACCGCGGTTCAGTGCTTGACTGCAAACTCAGGAGGGCATTTCAGCTCCTCACCAGCTGCTGGGCACGGAAAGATATATCAGTCAGTAGGCTTCCCTAAATACGACAGCCTTGGACACCTTAGGGGGCAGTTCCACTCTGTCCAATCCAGCTGCTAACAGTCGATACCCCCTCAACTGCAACTGGTTAGGACCAGACCATCCACACCACACCGTCTGCCTTCTATTCATCAGTCAGATGGGTCTCCAAGTCTCCCCACACACGCCAAGTCAATCCGACCTATGCAGGTAGAATGGACGCGCCCCCAGCAAAGAGTAAATAACTAAAATTAAAACATCAACCCAAAGTCTTCCAGTTTTTCAAATCAGAGTCAATATCACAGTGCAGGCAGGTGCAAATCCCACCCCCCACCCCTCCAGTCTCCAGCATCAACAATGCCAGCACTGAAAGTGCTGACAAGCAGCCTAGCTCCCGCGGAGAATCGACTGCATAAAGCGAAGGTGAGCATGCAGCCGGACGGCAACCTACTTGGCAAAACACTACACATCCCCCCTGGGAAAGAGGTACCGTGATTCCCATTTCCCCGGTGAGCAAAGTGAAGGTCGGGAAGGTACCCCAGGGCCCACTGAGACAAGGCCTAGGTTGGACTCCAAAGCCCAAGCTAGGTAGGATCACAATGTTGGGCGGGGTGGAGGCTTGGGCCTCGCACCTGGTCTGAACTCAGTTCCCGCCGCTTTCTAGTTGCGCCTTGAAAGGGGGTTAATACCACCTTGCTTCGCGGGGCTGCGGGGAAGGCAACGGGCCACGCCCGCAACGCGCCGTCCACTACACAGTGTTTGCTGGGGAAGGCGCAGCCCGGGCTTTTTGAAAACGGGCACACTTGGCCCAGGAGCCAGCGGCCGGCCCGGCCGGGGCACAGCGCTCCGTGGTGGACCTCGGGGCACAGGCAGCAGCCCGGGGGGCCGTCCCCGCGCCGCCCCCTCCGGCTGCCGCGCTCGCTCGCTTTCGCCCGCACGCGCCCGGGGCTACGTACCAGGCGCCCCCGAGAGCCGCTCAGCCAATCTCCGCCGCGGAGGCCGGGAGGCGGGGCCTCGAGCGTACGCTCCGGAAACCGGACGTCCGGTCCGCGGGTGGGCGGGGCCTGTGGAAGCGGGCCGGGGAGGGCGGGGCCCGACGTCCTGGGACTTGTCGGGGTGACGGGAGGTGCAGATAAACTTTCCACGGGTGCTAGATGCAGGCTTTCCACTCCCCAAACACCAAAAACAAGTTCACTGCCATAGTTGATTCCGACTCCTGTCGACATAGGCCATGACAGGGCTTCCCCTATGGGTTTCCGCAGCTTGACTCTTTACAGGAGTCAAAGTTTCATCTCTCTGCCACGGAGCAGCCTGTGATTTCAAACGGCTGACCTTGTGGTTAGCAGTCCAACGCTTAACCATTGCGTCACCAGGGCGTAAATGCAAACAAGGGCTTGTCTGACCACTAGCTGTGCAGTCTCTGGTGAGAGCAATGATGGCTGCAGTAATTAACCGAGCCCTTCCTACCAGGTCTGGGGGTGGTAGTCCTCAGGTCTTGAGCTCGGATATTGTCCCCATTTTCGCCGAAGGAAATTTGATGCTTCGAGGGATTCACTTTCTTTTACAGTTTGCTCGAGAAACTGTAACCTAGGCTTTTTAAAAACGGGCATACTTCGCTCAAGAGTGTCCAGAAGCCAGCTGTGGGCCCAGGCGGGGCACAGCGCTCCGGGCCCAGAGTCTGTCCCTAGCAAATCAGGTAGCCTCCCCTCCCGTTTCTCGTTGGCTTCCTAAAAGGGATCCCAACTCACAACCACCCTATGTATGCAAGGAGAACCACTCCCTAGGGGGTTCAAAGCTGAGACTTTGGAAACCTAATGCCAGGTCTGCCTAGTGTGTGCTAACTTTGAAACCTACGGTCAAGCGCCTAAAGGTTGGGGCCACCCAAGGATTATACTCTTTTTTAAAGTGACGGTAATTGCTACTGTATCGGCTGTTGAAAGCATCAGAAACATACAGCATTGAATGGTATCCCACAAACAGTAAGCTATCCTTCAATAACTCCCTTCCCTCCCCCTAAACTGTATTTGCTTTCGTTTCCTTTAAGGTAGGAATCTCGTCTATCTTAACCACTGTGTCCCCTCAACTCAGAACAGGGCCTGGCCCAGGGGCTCAATACATTGAGGAATGAAGGAATTTCACATCTTTCTCTGATCACCCTAGTCTCTGAAACCTTTCTCTTTGACCCCAACTGCCATCACCCAGTAATGTCTCATGACCAAAGGGTCATTTGGTCCAACACTGTCCCATCATCCCCTTTATATCATCTCAACCATCTATACTGATATACCCAGTGTCAGGGTGCTCACTGCCTCTCAGAGCAGCGCTATGCTGTGTTTGCAGCCCAGTGTGGCAGGGAGAAGAGTCTTTCTTAGATGATCTCTCTCCTGGTTCCACTCTATAAGACCCTACAGAACAAACAGAATCCCCATTCCATGGAGCCAGATCTCATGGCCCAGGCCCTTTCCTCCTCTATCCCCTTCCTCAAGCTAAGCCACATTCAGATGACCTACTGTTCCCTACTCCTGACGCATCAGAGATGCCCAGACTCCCACCAGTAACCATGGCAGTGATCAAAACAGAGCCAAAAGCATGCTCACCCTTTCCCCCTGGGCCTTATTGTTAGGAAATCCTTGCAGATGATCTTGATTTTCCCAGAGATTGTCTTGTAATATCATGAGCTATTGGTGTATGAGTAAGGGCTCTGATGTCTAAGTCGGTGTCCAGGTGGTCCAATCTGCCAGCAGCCTTTGAACCTTTACCTTGGGACAGAGCCAAGACAGAGGGGCTCCAGCCCAGGCACCCTTGGGTACTACTGGAGCATGTCTTAGCAGTGTTGAGGTGAGGCCATCCACAGTTCCCAACCCAAAGACATAGTTACCATGCCCATCATAAACTCTGAGCTGCTCTGATCGTTCACACGATCCCTGGCAATGACCTGCCTCCCAGCCACCTCTCTGTCCTTAGCAGCTAGTGTGATGTCTGGGACACAGTGGCACTCCAGGTTTTGTTTGATGAACAACTGAGTCCATTAGAGATGACTTCTTTGACTCCTGGGTCTTTGACTTTTGATTCTTAAAATTTCTTCCCCACATGTTTACTTTAAATAAATATTAATATGCAATTAAATTTATATCATGCCTCACAAATACCATTAATATTTATCCGTTATTAAAAACCTGCCCTCCCCACCAAAAAGGCTCCCATAGGGCCTTACCAGCTAGAAAATAAATTCCCAGCGGACACATGCTCCCCTTGGCAAAGTTCTTACACCAGGCTCTGTGTTAAAACACTCAAGTTCAGGTCTGAGGTCTGTACTAAGTGGCAATGATCCTTTGGAAAAATCACTGAACTTGGTTCTTTGGTTCTTCACTGTCAAACAAGACTGTGGTGTGCCCTGATCACTGTAGGTATCAGAGGAGATAGTGCAATAGCACGTTTTGCAAGCAATGAAACACTGTACAAACGTAGGAAGCCACTGTATCACATGTGTCCCTGTCCCTGCCATTGCTTGTTAACTTCCTCCATCCTGAAGGCCTTCTGCCTTCTCACCATTCACTCCATTTCTCACTCACTTGATTAATTCACCAAACACTGTGGGCACACTGGTTCAACCGTGTCCCAGTGGTGCAGTGGGTTAAGCTCGGGGAGGGGGGCAGCCAATTGAGAGGTCAGTGGTTTGAACCCACCCGCTGCTCTGCCAGAGAAAAGATGTGGTGGTTTGTTCCCTGTGGGGTTAAGGGTAAGAGGGAACCCCACAAAACATCACAGGTTTGGTAGGCGCAATTGTACAGCGATAATAAGTACAGATTATAGTAAAGTCATAGAGAGCATGAGAGTTAAAGGATAGAGTCAAGTAATGGAGTCAGACGCAATTCATGGTAGCATATCTCACCTCAACCCGGCTTGATGGTCCTCGTGGAGGGGGCTTAGCCGTCAGAGAAGAAGCCGCTGCTTCGTCCTCCTTAGTCACCTTCTCCAGCCGCCCTCTCGAGTACCAGGGAGCCTCGTTATTTATTGCTAACCACGCATCATAGAGTCATACATCACAGAAAGGGGCAATACAATTCATTCTAGAACAAGTTTGATCACTCTAATGTCTCACATAATAAAACAGACAATTACTATTCTGGGAGGCATGCAAGTTCCCTGATAGTGGACAATAACCTGAGTCACCAGGAGGGGTATTAACATAGGCAATACAAGCAATAGGAGGGGGATGACCTAAGGGTGAATGTGCAATGATAAGAGGAGGGAATAGGGGGGCATGTGTGACAAGATAGTAGCCTAAGCTTAGTCATCTTAGAATGGTCCCAGGCTTGCCTATGGGCACTGCTTCGAGGGAACAATAACAGAAAGGAATGGGCTTTATTTAGGGTGAGTCAGACTAATAGTCTAGCCACTATAGATGGCTGATGTTAAGGAGAATAACCTCTGACTTACTTTCGCTGCCTAAAGAACAGTCACGCTTAAGCAGCTAAGTCTGGTATATATTTTGGGGAGACAACTTAAGAGAAATCCTTCTGTTCCCCACAGTTCCCATAGGAGACACTCTTGGAAACCTCATGGGGCAGTTCCACTCCGTCCTATGAGTGGCTCTATCTCTCTGAGTTGGAATGAAGTGGGAGGCGCTGGGTTGGTTGGTTTTTGTGTGCCACCCTACAGAATAAAGGTGAAGCAAAGGCAACCTAGTGTTCACGCGGGTAGAACTTGGGGACCTGTAGCGGGAACTCAGCAGAAGCCAAACAAGCACACAGAGGAAAGTCACAGGGCTCAGGCAAGGGGCCCAGGGCTCAGAGAGCCTGGAGGCCACGTTCAAAGTCTATTCTCCTCAGGAAGGCCTTCCTCCCACCCCTCTATCCCATCTACCTCTTGATTTGACTTTCCATGTGACTCATTTGCCATTGCATCAGACAGCTGGACCTAATTAAAGCCTCAGTGTGCCTGGCTTCCAGATGTCTCTGTAAGTGCCCTCTGGGCAGGGGGTTTAATTTCTTACCTCCCACAACCCTGAACAGAGGCTGGGCCCATGCTGCTTGAGGCCCAGGGTGTTGAATGACTGCAGGTGATCTAGCAGGAAGGAAGGGTGCTTTTCTTGAAGGGAAGCTCCTGGGGAGACGGGAAGCTGCTAAAGACCATCTTCCTACCCTTGATTTCACCCTGAGCCCCAACCCTGCTCTTCCTGGGATGGCCAGACTGCTGCCCAGTCTGATCTTCCTTTGACAGAATCGGTTAGTGACGCCCACGAGTCTTCAGGATAAAACCACACTCCTCTGCTTGGCATCCACATTCCTTCTCTGCCCAATGCCTGCCTACCTCTCCAGCCTCAACTTTCAAAGTGCTCCTCACACACTAAGCTTGGGCGACATCATCATTGTTGCTGTACCTCCAAAGCCCCCAATTCTCAGGCAGCGGGACGGTCACACCTTCTGCTTTGAATGTCTACCCATTTGTCTGCTGCCTCTATCAAAACTCAGCTGCCATTGTCCCTGGACCCCTTTCCTCGGGCCTCCCCCCACTCTCCCATGCTCCCGGCTCTCTCATGGCACTGTGCTGGATCCACCAGCTCCTGGAGCAAACCCGGGGCAAGGGTTGTGTGCTCTTCAGCTGGATGCTGCAGTGTCTGCCAGAGAGCCTGAGTGCTGCCCCAGGCTGCCCACGACCTGGCTGGAGAATGATGCAAGGCTCTCATGTGGCCCGTCTTGTCATGGTCATGAATTGTTACCAAAGACTGGGTGGGGCTACGTGGACGAGGGGCCTGGTGACCATCAAGGGGACTGAACAGCTTACTAATAATGCAAATAAAGTACACAGCATCCCTGTGGGGGTGGCACCATGCAAATGAAGTATATGTGGAATCCCAACAAAGAGACTGGCCAATTTTTTTTTCCTTTTGAGACTGGTTAATTTTGCCATCCCAGCAAGGCTTAAAAGAAGCCATCCCAGAAGTAGAGAGCGGGATCGAAACTCACCACCACCAAGAAGAGCAAGAAGTACATTCTTTGGATCCAGAGTCCCTGCGCTGGGAACCTCCTAGACCCAGAAGGCAGAGAGACAGAGTTGTACC